TAGGTTTTTATGTGATTAAGTGAGTAGTTTTGTGTGTATGAAATATGCATGGGTTTGGAATTGACCTTTTTCTTTGTTTATGGGTTAGTGTTGGATTTCAGTGCCCATTGATTTGTCTTTAAGGTCTTATTTCTTAATTATGAAAACTAGGTCATGTTATCATTATCTTTTCTCATTTGATTTCATGAAATGCTTCATTTCTAGTGTTATAATTTTCTATTGATTTCATCAAGTATGATATGAATTTGCTCGAGTATGCCTGTACTCATCTGTTTTGCAATGAGGGTTTAGTTGTTGGAAGTGAACAAATCTCCTCGGAAAAAGAAGTGCACAATTTTCTCTTTATTAGGTGCTAAGGACAGAGAGATCTTTGGAGTAGGTGCCTCTTATACTACAAAGAAATCATTTGCTTGCTTGCCTAGATGCGAAAGGACTTTTAGTCTATGACTAGATTCATAATTTTCTGTAGCTCAACAATCACACCTTCTTTTCTTTTTTGTGGCTGTGGTTGTTTTTTGCCTTGTCATTTGAATACCAAAATGTTCGTAATCTTGTCTTTTTTTATTGACCCCATCTTTCTCCATTTGTTTCGCAGATACTACATCCCAGGTTGCATCTAAATAGATTTGACTTGGTGATTACCCCTAAGCACGATTACTATCCTTTGACTCGTGAAGCACAACAGCAGGTTCCTCAATTTATTTGTAAGTGGATAACTCCACGTGAACCTCCTGACAGTCATGTGGTATGTATGATGATCTTATTATTTGCATGCATTTGATATATTTAAGAAACTTTAACCTTCTCAAATATCAACTGCTCTTGGTACTTTGAAAGTTGAAGCTATTTTAATTTCCTTCCCCCTTCCCTCCCTCTCCCCCAACAAGCTATGACATACTAAAAACTTCTAAATCAGGTCCTCACTGTTGGAGCTTTACATCAAGTTGATGCTGGTTCACTTCGTAATGCAGCTAGTGCATGGCGTGATGAGTTTGCACCTTTGCCAAAACCTTTACTTGTGGTGAACATTGGTGGCCCTACAGGTAATATTTTGTTACACTCTGGATCTTTGTTGCTTTATGGTTTACAGGATTGACAAATAATTATTTGACTGCTACGTCATGATTGCTATTATGCTGTTTTTGAATTTAAAGGCCTGCTTCATGTTAGGTTAGATTAAGCTGTTTATTTTGCTTATAGTCATAGTATAAAATAGTGGAAATAACATGATACTGACCCGTGTCTTTTAAAGTCACCAAATGGCCATTTAGCTAGCTAGGAAAGAGAGTTCAAAATGTGTACTTACTAATTTATGCATGAGCTAGTGCTGTCCTACCAGAAAATGTTGATTCATGTTGTGAAGTTTGCAACTTTTTTAGAAAAAATGCATTCGTTTGATATGGTAAGTGACTTATGTTGTGTGGCATACCTTTTTGTTTTGTTTATTTTCACCAGCCCAAATTTTACTCCAAATTTATACTAAGAAGGATAATGCAAGAGTTGTTTTATTTGTCTTTTTTTTATTTTATTTTATTTTTTTGTGATTTGTCTGAATCTCAAAGTTGAAATTATTACAGAAATGTAGGTATATTTTAGTTTCTTTTATGTTACAGAGATTTCTGCTGCACATTAGTGATTTGAGAGTTAATAGAGAGCTGATTTCTTTGATGAATATTAGATCATTCATTTTCTGAGTTTTCAAGAATTTTGGGAACAACTTGTTCTGATCCTACTTTGTTAATTTTGTTTGGAGCGGCCCACTTATTCCCGTTAGGGCTTGTATGATGTTTTTTTTCCTTTAATAGGCAATTGTCGTTATGGTGCGGACCTTGCAAGGCAATTGACAACCAATCTGCTTAGTGTTCTTGATAGCTGTGGGAGTATCAGAATATGTTTCTCTAATAGGACTCCTGAAAAGGTGTTGCTACAGATGTACATATTCTTACTTTGGTTTGTACTTTGTAGTGGTACTAATTGTTTTCCTTTTGCTCGTCTATAGGTATCTAATGTTATATCGAAAGAGCTTGGTGGTAATCCAAAAGTTTACATCTGGGATGGTCAAGGTATCATGTGAAATTTAATCATTTGGCTTTCAGGTCAAGTCTTATCTTTGATATGAATTGGGGTGTTAGTGCTGTACTGATAAATATTTTGGTCTCCAGAGCCAAACCCGCACCTGGGCCATTTAGCATGGGCCGATGCATTTGTTGTCACTGCAGATTCTGTCAGTATGATAAGTGAGGTTTGCAGCACTGGGTATGATTGAGGAAATTACATCTGTATTGATGATATTTTCTTTAATGTATTTTTTATTTAAGCATATTAATTTTGTCTCTGCATATTTCCAGGAAGCCTGTCTATATTATGGGAGCTGAGAGATGTACATGGAAGTTCTCAGAGTTCCATAAATCACTTAAGGATCGAGGAGTAGTTCGGCCATTTACAGGTTCTGAGAATGTAAGTAAAAACTAATTTGTTTTGGTAACTTTTCCATACATGGGTGGCAGATTATAGAAGGATGCCCTTCTTAGGATTGCTTTGTTCTTTCATCGTTCTCTGTCAACATAGACGTCATTTTCTCCCCTTGTAGACACACATACACACACAGATTCTCAGTAGTGCTGCTAAAAAAATTGCTTTGTTATCCATTCCAAAGGATTATACCAAAACTGAGGAAATATTTCTTGTTTTCACACATTGTAATGGTGGATTTTGGCACGAAAGGTGAGGATAAAGCCTTTTTCTCTTTCTTTGGAAGGTTTATGGGCCATTATAGTTTTAAAGTCTTACACTTTTTCGTTTCTTGGTGGAGTCACAAATGTCCGACTTCAGTTCGCTAATGATGATAATATGTGCATTTGGAATGATTGGAACTTCCTTATACTTTGACAAACCTTCCGTGTAATAACTTCTTTGTACTGAATAAAGATCTATATATTGGTCTCAAGCATACTTTCTTCTTTTCTCAATCTTATGATCTTCGTTGCTTTGAATATTTTGACAGATTGCAGAGAGCTGGAGTTACCCTCCGCTCAATGAAACCGCAGAAGCAGCCAGTCGAGTGCACAAAGCACTTGCGGAGCGTGGATGGAGATTGCGACCATAGGAAGTGAGTCGATAACCATTTTTAATTGTAAAAACACTCAAATCTTATGTTAAAAGATAGACCCATTGAAAGTTAGGTTTTTTGTGATACTGTATAGGAATGACGGCTAAAGGCTGTTGTAGCTCTTATCTTTGATTCTTCCCCTTTCGGGGGTCTTGAGACGAGACTAAAGGCTTTCTGTAATTGTGCGGCTTGTAAATTTTGAAGAGGGGTGAGCGTTTCTTTTGTTTAAAGGTGGGATGGTTCTCTCTCTGTTAGTGTAGATAATTTCGTTTGTTCAAAAAAAAAAAAAAAAAAAAGAGGTGGGGTGGTTCTTGTTCTGAAAACAATTCATCTTTAATTTAAAAGTGGTTTATTATATTATGTTTGATTTACAATTACTTGGAGGAATATAACCAAATTTCACTAGCTAACATAATTTTTTACATGCACCGTGACCTGTTTGGTTATTTACAGATTTTATCAAATTGTTCTTTCGAGAACCAGCTTTTTTTTACCTTGAGGTATTTGTTGATTTGCCCTCTGAATTTGTATGGAGCTGCCTGAACTTTAATTTTAGCTGATTACCTCTTTGAACTTTTATAATTAGCTAATTTCCCTCTTGAACTTTAATTTTAACTGATTACCTCTTTGAACTTTTATAATTAGCTAATTTCCCTCTTGAACTTTAATTTTAGCCGATTACTCTTTGAATCTTTATAAATAGCCAATTCTCCCCTGTTAGATTTTGAAAACTTTCATTCAATTTTTCCCATCCAATTTTCCATCTTTTTGCCCTTATATAGGTGTCATGTTGTTTTCGTGATCAAGATGGATGGAAAATTGAATGAAAATTTTAAAATCCAATGATGGGGGAAATTGGCTATTTATAAAAATTCAAAAGGGTAATTGGCTACAATTAAAGTTCAAGAGGGAATTAGCTAATTATAAAAGTTTTAGAAAGTAGTCGGCTAAAATTAAGATTGGACTTTGATACTTTAACCTTTTAAGATTGGACTTTGATTCGGCGCGGACCCGGTCTGTTTGCTTCACCACCAAGATTGAAAACGAGTAATTGATTTGGTCCGGTATAGGTTAGGTCCTGTCAATTTTATTCGGGTTAGAGTTCTTCCATCTTCACTTGAAGCCCAAACTAAAAATCCAGCTCCGGTCCACGAAACGAATCCACCAACGATGTCTAACAGAAAGAGTGGATGACGGGTTGGAGGCGTGGATGCAGGTCGTGAAGTGGATGACAGGTTCGAGGCGTGTATCGAGTTGCGAGGCCGTGAGGGAGACGGGGATGTTGAGATTGTGATGGAGGAGAGTGAGATCTGAGGGAAATGATGCTTCAGAAAATTAGGAGAGTAAAGATCGTTAAAATGTAATAAGGCATTTCGCTTCTCTTTATTTTGTTTTTAAATTATAGAGGAGTGCACAATGACTTTTCAGAACGTGTAATAACGGCTTTATTTCTCTGATGTCATATGTTTTCAAGTCTCATGCAAATTAATTCATGGAAACCTTAAAATGAATTTAAATAACGATATTTGATGATCTCATTGCTGATTAATCATCCCACCAATGACTTAATCCATCAACCAATATACTAACATATATTAAATACTACTAATTAAGTGGGGATTATACTCGCAGCATGATCATACATATCAAACTTAATGCTTTAGCTAGGTTAATGTACACAATTAAACACTTTGATTACCATTTTCCCATGATGTTGCTTAATTAGTGGAGCAAGTAAGCTTTTGGCAACAACTCCTGTTCCTCAATTCATCTTCTAATTAAAAACAATATTAAAACTAATGCATTAATTAATCTCTGCATATCCCTATATAAACCGCATCCCAGCATTCCCTTGATCATACAAAATCATTTCAATTTCTGCATCGATAATATGGAATCGAAAAAGAGTGGAGAAGTAGTAGCCATTAGTACCGGCGAAAAGGCGAATTACAGTGCCAAAGGAAAGGCTGCTGAAGGTGCTCCTCCTGCTGCTGCTGCTGCAGTCACCGCAAAAGCTACAAAAATCAGGACTATGGGAGGAGGATGGAAAAAGGGTCTGGCGATCATAGACATTGTGCTGCGGTTTGGTGCCGGTTCAGCTGCTGTTGCTGCGGCTTACACTGCAGGGAATACTGAACAGATTCTTCCTTTCTTCACACAGTTCTTCCAGTTCCATGCTGAGTATAATGATCTTCCAACTTTCACGTACGAAAAAATATTTATATGCTTCGTTCAAATTGTGAAATCTCCTTCAAGTAACAAGTTAATATTATTTGCTTGATTAAAAAGGAAGTGATGGATTAATTCATTGATATGTGCAGGTTTTTTGTTGTTGCAAATGCAGTAGCTGTGGGATACATAGCGTTCTCCTTGCCCTTCTCTATAATCTGCATTATTCGACCTCATGCAATAGGGCCAAGGCTACTACTCGTTATCCTTGACACGGTAATATGACTAACAAATTCTACTGTTCAATACCTCGCATGGCATAATGATGAGTGCTTTTTATTTTTTGTTCGTGACTTCAGAGTGTTTGTTCATTCAAATTATAACACGCGTAAAATATTAGAATCTAAACTTTTAAACCTAAATATGAGACTAATTAGCGTCCATATAATAATCAGCATATCATGTGATCCGTTCTTTTAAATCTAACTACTAATTTTTTTTTTTATTATCAATGAAACAACGCTCTAAAACTGATCAGTTAGATGTATCTAGGAAATTATAATTATCATTCCTTTTCTCCTCCCACACACCCATGTTTGATCATATTTGTTGTCTCTCTTTAATTTCAAATCCAACCATCATAAATAAAGAAGGTTGTGTCGTGTATGAGAGGCTAAAATGGATGTGTTAAAACCTACTCCCATGGTATATATATCGTAACTCTATTGTTAAAGAGGTCCCCGTTTTCTCTTTGCTTAATTATATATGTTGATCTATATATATATATATATATTGACTTACTGAAAGCATTGCAAAAACTAATTGCTAAATGCTTTGCAGGTGATGGTTGCTCTAATCATAGCTGCCGATGGCGCTTCATCTGCAATTGTGTACTTGGCGCATAACGGGAACATGAACGCAAACTGGCTTGCTATTTGCAGGCAATACAACGACTTCTGCCAGGCACTCAGTGGAGCTCTTGTGTCTTCATTTGTCGCAGCAGTCTTTTTTATGTTTCTGGTTGTGAATTCTACTTTCGCTCTTAAAAGAAAATGAGAAATTAAGGAGCTTAATTACTGTATAATTAAGACTTCTAAATTGCAGAGATGCATATTGTCGATTGTGTATGTTATTAATTGCATTAAAATTAAGATGAATGTAAAATGATATAATTGTAATGAAAGATTTGTGTGAATTGGCTTCAAAGAATATGGTAAAAGTAGTTTTTGTTTATGTATTTTGTTTTTCTTTCTTTATTTCCTTTATTTTTAAGAATCTTTCATACTAATTAACAACTATGGTACTTTAGGTTAGGGTTGTACACCTCCACAATGAATAACAAAATAGAAGAAAGAGTGCAAGATTACCTTTTTGGATTGCACTCTAATCCATGTTTAGATGAATAAATTTAAGAGTACTATGAAATATTGAAATATTAAAGGGGCACTTTAATGACTCCCAATACTGTTTACTTTAACGAAAAACCAAATTTTTACATTAAAAAGTCAATCTTGATACTATTCACTTTACCCTTTATTTTGTCCTTATTATTAAAACTCAAAGTTTTCAAGCCATTTTCATTAGTTTTCCTATATTAAAATGATTGAATTCAATTTTCTAGAATTTGTGATGATTTTTGTCTGACTAACCTAAAAGTATAATAATATAAGTACTAGACCCGAAGCATGTGATAGATAGCAATCTATTACAAGCATCACCCATGGCCGCTGAGTTGTTGTCTGATAGTGGTGGGGTAGTGGTGGCAACAATGGTTGTAAGTTAGGGGTTCCGGCAATGTGGGTTTGATGGAGTTGATAACCATGGGAATGTGGTGGTGGTGGCACTAGTAATGGTGAGTTGTGGAAGTTGTAGCAATGATGGTAGCCATGGACAATGTGGTAGTGATGGTGGCGATGGTAGTGGTGGGGTTGTGGCAACAACGATGGTAGAGGTAGACGTGTAGTTGTGTTTTTTAATTTTAAACTCTTTACTCTTAAAATTTAGAAAGAAAAACTACATTGTAATTCATACAATTTTCTATCACACGAAATTATAAGTATATAATTAATAAATTCCCTTCTCACCTTCTCCCATGAAATACCAAAAATGCCCTTAGCTTTAAAATCACTCTTTAAATATTCGAAAATGTTATTGATCTCTGGAGGAGTTCCAATTAAGTTCATGTTATCACATATACTGTCACTATTACAAAACCTAGAATTTGGTTTCTTTAGAAAAACACAGGGGCATTTTTGGTTATCAATATAGCTTTTCCTGGTCGAAACTTCATCAAGAAAATTATACCACATCCGGCTAGATTGTTTTAATCCATATAGTAAACGACTTAAATTGATGGAGTACATGTTCCGTGATTGTGTAGTTGCTTTGGGCGCATCAATACTGTCTTCATCGCATCGATCTCCTCCTCCCTTGCCATATTTTTCCTCTCAGTGTTAGTTTTGTGTGTTTCTTTCGTTTTAGTTGTTGATGTACAAAAGATGTCCAGACTCAAAAGTCTCGTTCATTACTCTTTTTTCTTTCATATAGCAATCCATATATCATAGAGCTATATAGAACTAGAGAATACAATCTTCAACATATAAGCTAGCTTTTATATGCAAAACTGAAACAAACAAGCATATTACATGTTGGTATAATTTGTTTACACAGATTAACAAGAGTGGCTAGTAACCTAATTTACAAAGCTTACTAAAAGCCTAAAGAAACATGTGTCACAAGCTTAACAAAGACTCATTCAAACCTGAGTTACAAACTTCCACAAAAACACACTAGAGCCTAGTTTGTAAAGGGAGTTACTTTTACTTAAACATTCATAAGGTTGAAAAATACGCTGAGGTGTTGAAGAGTACAAATCCTAGATCAATTGTGGTTATTAAAACTCAGATGAGAGATGATATAATGAGATTCCAGAGAATGTATGTAATACCCGTATTTAAAAAAAAATGATTATATATGTGTGTTTGTATGTGCGAAGTTGTTTTTATGTAATAATTTTATTGGGTTCCTTATATACGCTATGAGTACAAAAAACTCGTATTTTTAGCATGTAAGTTAGTAGAGATTCTTTCACTCCAAGAATATATTTAAGCCTATCTAATACTTTTAAATTCAAATTTCTCCAACTAGAGAGGTTTCTAGTGTTTGCCATCCTCATTGTAGTTTTGTAATTTTGTACGTAACTTATATATGTATTAGATTGTTTTTGGTAGGCCTTAAAGTTGATTTTACATGCTAATGGCAATTATCATTGCTATAGCCGAACTTCAGGTGGGATTATTTGAGTACTTTTTGCTTGATTCATTTTTTTTTCCAAGGATGAGGTGGAAGTTGGTAATTAATAGAAGTTAATGATTAGGGTGAAGAGGTGGAAGTTTACTTAAGGGTGAATTGGCAGGTTTGCAATCATTAGGAATTTAGTAGTTAATGATTGGTGATGATTCATCCTCCAAATTTGGAGAGGTGTGAATCTAGATAGGGCCATAGACTATGTACGTGTATCTATTAGCATGTAGGTGACATTGTATTGTGATTTATAGGAGTGATTACTCACTAGCCTAGGGGAATTTCAATTATTTGTTTATATTGTCTCTTCATGCTTCAATCTATCATTTCAAATATTCCAATGATATGATGACAAATGAGTTTCAGACGTCAAAGGGGACGTAAGTGGCCAAATAGTAACAAGAAATATGATTACACTCTCTATAAATGAAGGAGAAGGTCTAGGGAAGAAGAACGCCAATCCAGCAAAGAAATCATCATTTTCTCATATCCCTCCTTCTTTATTATTCAATTTGAGTAGATTATGTAATGGCTTTTCAAGCTACTTTCATTCTATTTTGTAAATCTCATTTTTAGTAAATTACAAATATAAACACAAGCCTAGTGGATGTAGCCAAATTGGCGAACCGCTTAAATCCAATGTTTTTCTACTTATATTTTGAGACCATTGCCATGAAAATCACCTTCAACCAACAATGGAAATTCCTTAGAAAAAAACCTACAGCTAAAGAAATGAAATCCCACTAATCACCATGAACCTATATTTCCTCTCTCAGTTGAACCCCAAATCAAATTCAGTTACGTAAACTATTATTCATAAAAAACTAGATTTTTTTTAATTGGATGCAACCATAACTCCACACCAAATTGATCAAGGCAACCAACCGTCTTTCTCCATCTCCTCATTGGTGTTCAAACGCTACAAACAAAAGCTGCCCTTGGCTAGTCAAGCTCATCAATGGCAGCCATGAAGGACAACGACAATATCGTGGCTAAGCACTCATGAGAACCACTTCATGTGCATCATCCGTTCTATCCAAAGTGTCCTATTACCACACCTTTAACTGTGGAGTTGACAAATGATGATGTTTTGTGAAGAGAGAGAGAGAGAGAGAGGATGAGGAGGAGTGGGGGTCGATTTGTAGAAAAGAAAGGAGATATAAATTGGGAAGAAAAGAATTAAGTAGTGGTTCTTGAGGGAATAAAAAGGAGAAGCAAAAAGATGACAAAAAGACATTAAAGGGTAGAATGTTGTGTGGGAGGAAGAGGAGAGTCGGGTGAAAGAAAGTGATCAAGTTTGTGAGTGAGAACATAAGGGAAGTGAGATGAGAAGAAGTAGAAGTGGTGGGCTAAAATAAAAATAAAAATGATGTTTGGAAAGGGAAAAGCTAGAGACATGATTTCATGCCTTGTGGCCTTTGAGACATATTTCACTCTAATGATTCTCTTCTCTAACATGGATGTCTATTCCTTTCCAATAAAAACAAGTTGCCCGACCAAGATGGACAAGACGATGGAAGAATATATAGAGTGGTCAATGAGCAACACTTCAGATGATGGATTATAAATTATTACTTTGTTATTAATATTATGATTATATTACTCTTGTTACTAATCATATTCATTTATATTGAAGCTTGCAGGCTTGTTAGATAAAATGTGAGTATTGATATCTATGTGCACATGACATATATATATATATATATATGCATTCCAAAGTAGGAAATAGAGTTGTGTTGTGTCAAGTGCTCACTTGTGTAAAGTATTTGAGTTGTGAGGATATTCAAGGGCTGAAGTTTGCCTTGAATATAAAATAATGAACCTTGTATATGTCAGGCGTAGGGTGCAGGGCATGAGTATACAAATTGGTTGATTATAAAAATAATGAAATCTTGTATATGTCAGGCGTTGGGGGAAGGGCTTGAATATACAATTGGGCGTCGGAGGAAGTGTTTGTATAATAAAGTGGAAACTGAGAGTTTAATTACAAAAATTGGGTTTAAGGGATGAACGGAAGTTAACTCATATTCTAAGTTATTTGGAGCCAAGTGGTATAAGCATGGTATGGGACGTGCACGCTTGGGTGCCTTAGGTATGTGTTAGCGGGATTAGAAGGGAGTGAGTACATTCATCCATCTCATTTGTATATGTTTCATGCATTTGAAATAATTGTTACAATTTAATTATTATTTTGTTGGTAGTTTTTGTTGTGAATTAATTTATGTACTATTCTATTTCCGCTGCATATTGAATAAATTTTAAATAATTTTATTTTAACTTTTCCACCATGCCTTGATTGTAGAATTTATTTCTATAGCAAGATATGGCTCACACCCTAGCTCGTGAATAGTCTTTATTCGCAGGTCGGGGCATGACAATGTACGTACATCTGTTTTGAAGCTTGCAAAAAGGGTTTAAGGAGGGGTGCATATATGTCATAGGACTATATGGATGTTTTGTGAAAGGGAAACATCCAGGATAGATTTTAGTTGTAGTTGGAATTGATGCTAATAATGGGATGTTCCCACTTGCATATGTTGTGGAAATAGAAAATGAACACCTAAGAATGGTTTTTGAAAATATTGATTGTGACTTAGACATGAGTAATAGTCATGGTTATGCATTCATCACAGATAAGCAAAAAGGGTTAGTTAATGTCATTCAGACCCTATGCCTAATGCAGAGCATAGACACTGTGTCAAGCACTTGCATAATAACTTCAAAATAATACACAGTGGCCTTGCATTAAAGAA